GGAGTAGATTTTGAAACAATAAAGCTACTAAATATAGAGTGGTCAATTGTTGGTCAAAGAACTAATTTAATCATTTAAATACTTCATGGATTAATTAGTTAGTTTCAATAAGCTACAAGAACTAAGTTTTATAATTAACTCTCATTAATGAAACGGATAGCCGGGTGCCTTTTGAGAAGTCTATATATATATATATGTTTAGATTATTTTGATGTTCTATGTTAAAAATAAATTTTTAAAAATATTTTAATAATTTCTAAATAAAAAATATATTGTAAAGCAATAACTAACACAATTCTAAACTTTTTTTAAATAATAAAAAAAAAACACCAAGTTTCATAATGGGAGTTTCCAACAAGCTCCCTTTCATTATCATGGCGTCTGAGTTCTCTTAAAAGTAGTAATTGAATTTAATTCAGGCTAATTTGATTTAATTATAAACTAAATTAAAGGTTTAATTATGTTTAAAAATTAATTTAGATTAAATTAAAATATTTAATTAGATATAAAGACTTAATTATATTCTTAATGGGTTAAATTAACTTTATTAGGCACTTAATTGATTAAAATTAAATTTGAAAGCCTAATTCAGGCTTAATCAAGAAGATCAAATTTTTAGATGACCAAAATTAATTTTTTTGAAGTTAATTGGTTGAAATTATGGACAAAATTGTAAAAAAAACAAATTTTAAGATCAATTAACTATCAAATTAAAAAAATTCACAACTAAGAACCTTTCTAAAAAAGACACTAAACTTCAAGGACTCAATTTGGTTGAAAACATGAGTGAAGTTAAAGCAAATTGTAAGTTAAGTAGTTAAGTGAGGATCAATTTGTATAAATCCAAAACTAAGAAATTTTTTTAAAAAAAAGCTAAACTTTGAGAATTCAATTTGGTTGAAAATAGAGGTGAAGTTTAAGCAAATTGAGAGCTAAATGGTCAGTTGGAGATCAATTTGCATAAATTCAAAACTAGTGATCAAAATGAAAAGGCATTAAACTCATAGGGTCATTTTAAAATTTGACAAGGGTGAAATTGAATTGATTCTTGGAATCAAAATTCAACTGAGGACTTTATTGAATAAATTAGAAGATTGAGGGTTGAAATTGAAATATGAGATTTTTAAACCTAAAAGCAAAAACAACATCATTTTATTTAATTGAAACGATACGTTTCGATGTTATTTTGACCAAAACAATGTGTTTTGGATCTAAATGACATCGTTTTGGTTAACAAAGGTAAAAAAAAATAAAACATCATTTAACACTACTCATCATCTTCAATCTTCTTATTTGAAAAGCTGCCTGAATTATTGTTTTTCAAATATATTTAATGTCTCATCTCTCCACCAAACAAAACAAGCAAACCATCATTCTCATAATCAGACATTGTACTACACCCCATTTAGATTCTTGTTGGGTGGTCGTCTTTGTAGGTGTCGCAGCGTCATCCCCAAGACAACAACTTGTGCAACCCAACTTTTGCAATTTGTGATGTTAACTTTTGGCCAACAATGAGATCCTTTCCATTTGAATTAAGGGTTGCGATTCATACCAGATAAGCATTTCATACCTTTTTTTCAACCCTTATAAATAATGGTGAAATCCATTGAGAAGAGGAGAGACCGAAGCACAAACATATCTCGTGCACCAACTTTTCTATTTAAAAAGGAGAGAAAAGAACACAACCATCACTCTTTCTCTTTTTTTTCATAGACACCAAATAAAAACACCCTTCGGTCCAATCCCAACATCACACTTTCCAACCTCTTTTCACTGTCTTTCCACCATTTCCACTTACACCAACAAAAAAACCAACTCAAATACCATTTTTCATCTATTTCTATGGCAACACTGCAATCAATCTAAGCAGCACCACTATAAGTAGCATAACTTTCAGTCAATAGCTTATCATCAGCAGCAGCAACCTATTTCCCTTTTAGCCGAGTTATTGAAGACAGTAACGTGAACTCCAACACCAACCATGTCCAGCAACAACTACCTCTTCTTCCCCACCGCAGCTTTTTCAACTATAACAACATCCATCATGAGCTCCACCAGCAAACCACCACACCAAGTCTAAGGCTCCACTAGCCAAGTAATCCTCTCCCTACTCTTTATCTTCTTAGAACAAGTGCCAATAACACGAAGAAATAATTCATGTTATTGGCATTTGCTAGCTAACACGGGATCAGGTTAGTGATTCCTAAGTAATGGGGTTGGACCTTCGTTTCAGCCCAAACTAAATGGTTGGGTTAGGTCCAACCTAAAAAAGAATATGTTGGCCCAACAATTAGATTAGGATGGGCATGAGCCTAGCTCGCATGTGCCTATTAGTCCCAAACCTAATAAACCTAGCTCATATGGTTGGGCCAAGCCCAAACCTAAACTCATCTATAAGGGTGTGTTTAACTTGCCATGTTTTTCATTAAGCAATAAGCCCATGTTTTGCTCTTAAAGATATGTTTGTGAAGCACGCCCTTAAAGATTTTTAATGTCTGTGATTGTAGGCTACGGGTGTGTTTGTCTAAGCCTTTTTTCTTTTAGACTTAATTTGTCTATATTTGCATGTTTAGCCAAACAACCCTTTAAAATTCAAAAAACAAATTCTGAAAAAATTTAGAGATCATCTTAAAACTATTTGTGAGTCCCTCGCATGATTTTCTAGCACTTTCACCTAATATTGGGTTGTAAATTTACACTGTAAAATACAAACTCGATATTAAAAATATCCGATTTTCTCTTAAATTTTAAAAAAATCTAAAAAAGTTCAAAAGAAATTCATCATTTCAAAAATATAAAAAAATATGTTTTGGTTTTATGTGTACAATCAAATTCTAAAGGCTTTTCATGTATATTTCCTAAAAATGATAAAATCGCATTTTTATCATGTTTTAAATATACAAAAAGATCCTACAACAATTAGTTTATTATTCAAAATGTTAGAATTTAGCTGTATACTTTAATATTTGAAAGTATAAAATCACACTGTAAAGTATTAAAAATATAAAATAGAAAATAAATGCAATGTTAAAATTAGAGCCTTAGAACGATTAGGATTTTACCTGATAAGGTAAAGATTTCCTTACGAAGAAAAATCTATCTTGAACCTTAGATGAGACCACCAAATAGAAACATGTCTTAAATTAACAATCAATTAATAATATAGCTCACCGTAGGTAAGATGCATCAAGAGTAATGCGTTTTCCCCTTGCACAATGTGTATCACTAGATCTATGATAAAATTAGAGTTTATTACCCGTAATAAAGTTGTAAAGAAAGCTAAATGGATTTGGTATTTCATAGAAGATATTCCATGTTGTTCACAATCAATGTTAGCTATTTATGTCCATTACGACAATCAGTCGGTAATTAGAATGACACAAAGTCGTATGTATAATGGTAAGTCTAAACATATACATTGTAGACTTAATACCATTAAATATTTGCTTTTAAATAGAATTATTAATAGAATTATTTTCATTGACTCTATAAAGTCAAAGGACAATATTATGAATCTACTAATCATAGGTTTATCGAGAGAACTTGTATATATTTCATCAAAGCGAGTGGGTTTAAACAGATGAAAGAATGTAATGATGGCAACCATACCTGATTGATTAGAGATTTCAAAATTTAGATTTAAATGAAAAACTAAGTCATATAATATTATGTATAGCACTAAAAATTATTATTTCTTATTTATTCATGTGATGAAATAAGTGTTAGCTACAACGTGATAAAGGGTGAAATGGGTTTTTAATGATTTTTATATCTTAGTACACTAAGTGGAGTATAAAGTAATATTTTTAATAAATATCATCTATATGAGTGAAAAATGTGATCGTTTCTTTAAAAATTTTATAAAAATTTTTATTTTTTAAAGCGCTTATAAATCCAAGGGTTGTTCATAATAAAAAAACACAATAGTGAGAACTAAAAAAAAATCTTTAGATAGAGATTTATGTGAATACTATTATCTTAGTTTACATAAAATGATAGATAGTTCAAGATATTACGTTCATTATTTAGCCGAATAAGTTCAATAGTATTTCAACAAGGAAGGTTCAAAGGCAAAAACTAATTATTCTGATATAGTAATCTATCAAATTAGTAAATTTTCATAAATATTTAGGTCATAATTTCTATTTATATAGGGATTATTGAAAATTTATTTTAAATAAATAAATTATAAATGAATGAAAAATTAATATAGAAAAATCATTAGTTTTTCTACTAAAAAAATTCTCAGTTCTTTTAAATTTAATTATTAATTTATGAGTGCTAATTAATTGGTTAATAATAGCAAGATTAATTTTTTAATATTTTAACCTCTGAAATTCTCTGAGTTGAATGATGAGTTTTAAAACTTGAAAATTGAAATAGAAATAAAAAATAATTATCTTTTGTTAGCCGAAAATTCAAATTAGCTTCTTCTAGCGATTCAAAGCTTCTAGAGGAAGAAGACGTCAGGGGCAGAGCGCAGGCCCACGCGTGGTAACCAGCCTACTAGGTCGCATCTCCTTCTACTTGAGCATTGAAGCTACGCTCTTGATGCGCGTGGACAATAATTACCCCGTGGCCTCATCCATCCCTGGCGTCCTTCTCTTGCGTCGCTGCTTTTTGCGCGTGAACAATAAGCCGTGTATGTGCGCTCGTTGGAGGACGAAAATGCGCCTTGTGGCCGATATTGTTTTGGGATATTACTTCCGTTAATTTGACTAATCAACGTAATTTACTGTTTCTTCAAATAAATAAATAATACTAAAAAGAAAAAGAAAAATCAAATGATCCGACATGGGTACAGCGTATAACTCTCAATTTAAAAAAAAATGATAATTTTTTAAAAAAAATTAATGAATTTTTGATTGATCAACATAAATTTTAATAAAATTAAAATAAATTAATTTATTTCATATTAAATTTATATATCAATTCACTAATCCAGTCTGATTTTTATAACTACAGCTCGAAGGATCCTAAATACCCTATAATTTATAAATCCAGGGAATTTCATCTTTATTATTGAGGTCCATGGACCTAATCGTACCCTCATTTTTGGCCTAGCAACCTTGCAAGTTAAGAAACAAAAAGCACGGTGTAATTAGCGAGCACAGTAACTACAAGAAAGACAAGACACAAGCTGAAACAACCTTTTTAGATTTCTCCCCACCATGTCTGCCTAGAGAAAAATCACAAACGCGGACACCCTTTCTTCTGGTTTTCCCTTCCATATTTCCTGTTCGCTAATCCTTGAATCTTGAGCTGTATACTTTCATCAAGTCTTTCAATAACAAACAGCAATACGAAGTTGTCTCTGGCTATTTAACGGGTGAGGACGGCACTTTGGATTGCTGATGGAGTTTTTTACCAAGACAAAGGCAATTAAGCTCCGGAGCCACCTTTACAAGTACTTGATCGCGGACTTCGACCAAGAAACTGTTCGTCAAACACGACACGGCATATCACGGAAAGCTGTCATATGGTTTGTGGAGCTGGTCGGTGGAAAAAGCCATGTTATTCGTCTCAGAAGCTGCTATGGCAAATACCTCACAGCCTCCGACTTGCCCTTTTTGTTAGGCATGACTGGGAAGAAAATACTGCAAACAGTGCCTGAAGATATTACAGACAACAGTAAGATGGAGTGGGAGCCTATAAGAGACGGGTCTCAGGTTAAATTTAAGAGCTGGTGTGGCAATTTCTTGCGAGCTAACGGGGGGGCGCCGCCGTGGAGAAACGCAGTTACTCACGATGAGCCTCCCACTAGCTCAGCACAAAAATGGATCTTTTGGGATATTGAGGCAGTGCAAGTGCCTGAAAACGACTCCTTGGTGGATTACTTGTCATCTATGTCGAGCTTTTCTACAGTACCCGATGATGTTCTTGTAGCTATTTCCGGTGATTATAATAGCCCGGGACGAGCCTCTCAGCTATCAATTGTACCGGCTGCGCGGCCGCCGAGATTGACCTTAGCAAAGTCAATGTTTCCAAGACTGTTTTCGTCCCCAAATAATAAGGTATGCTTTTCTTGTCTTCAAACTTGGTAAATTGTTTCTGGTTAATTTGCCAGGCAGCTTGTTGATTATCTTAATTATTTGGAATTTGGTTAGAATTATTGGAGAATTCTGGTTTTTTCCCGAATTTTTTTTTATTAATCACCACACTAATTCTTCTCCTTTGTTTAATTAGATTATGCATGAGAACTTAGTCTATTAAAATAATCTTAATGTGGATTTAAAAAAAAAACATATTCCATCCATCTTATTATCTTCGTGTCACGAATCAACAACGAGCCCTAATCTATTATACTCTTAAACATCCATCATCAAAAGAGGGTAATTTTAAACCTATTTATCAAATTAAAAAAGAGAGAGGTGTGCCTCGTGGTTTCCATTGCATGCCACACTTCATATAGTAAACAATATAATTATTTTAATAGGATAATAAAAAAATTGCAATATAAAATACGCAGGCGCCATCACTGGCTAGGGTTACTCTTTCTGGTCTTGGAAAAGCCATCTTGTTGAGGATAAAATAAACCTTGGAGACTAGAGGGCACTGTCCATTCATCGCAATAAAGAAATCATGCATTCATGGGATGATTTAAAACCATAATAAATAAATAAAAATAAAAAAACAGAGAGAGGAGAAAGAGTATGAGCAACTATATATTATGAGGAACTAGCTATAATTAATATTGAATATGCATTATCAAAAATAAATAAATAAAAAATTAAGGATGATACATTGTTCAAACTGCCCAGATAGATACATAAAAAACACTGTTAGAGCCTAAATTTTCATTTAGAAGGAGCTATTTTCACCTTTTTTTTATGATGAAATGAATGAATACACTGTGAGAGGCATTATATTAAAAATTAAAATAATTATTTAATGTATTTTAAAAAAATAATTTGGAAATGCAAGGAAAAACCCCCAAATATATGTTTGGTCAGGTCTGGGCTCCTTAATTCCCATGGTGGCAATTTGCTAGGGACACGTGCACGTTAGGTACACGTCTTGACAAAATTGGAAAATGATACCAAAAGGCAATTACAATCTGCACGCACCCTCATCTAGAAATGGAAAATAAGTGCTTAAACGGAAGAAAATTAAAAGGAAGAACATAACTATCCAGAAATTAATTAACATCCCACTACTCACATAAAATTAATAAAAAATTTTTTTGCTTTTATGAATTAGCTAATTTTATTTTTAAAATAAACAATAAGTTTGGATCAAATTGTGGATAAATATAAGTTAAATATAAATTTCTAAAGGTATATTTTTTATTTTTTTTTTAAACTTGATATGTTTGTATCTGTATTTTAAAAGTATTTAAAAAAATTAATTTTTTTTATTTTTATATTTACTTCAAATTAATATGTTTTTAGTGTTTTTAAATTATTTTGATATACTAATATCAAAAATATTTTTTTTTTTAAAATATTGATATATATTGTAAGATGTAAAGTTATTTTAAAAATAACCAAAATTGTAGTAGTAATTATTATTTTTTAAATTATATTTTATTTAAAAATATATTAATGTATCAAAATAATTTAAAATTATAAAAAAATAATTTAAAAATATTTTTTAAATAAAAAACACATTTAATAACATACACATGAAAAACTGATTTTTTTCTTTTCTTTTCAAAACGTCTGAAATCAGTCGGCAGGGGGCATTCTGCTGATGATAACGTTTAATTTAATGGAATATTTTTAATACTTAAGCAACGTCTTTCTGGTACGCAAAGAAGGAAGCTTCAGGTGACATACAAATCTCGGGGAGCGAAGACAGATTAATTTCAAGCCTGTCCCTTCCCTCCCTCAATATTAAATAATAAGAATTAATTTTAAACCCTGTGGATAACTGCCACGTAGTTGCCGCTTCCGAATTACGGCAAGTCATTTAAACACCCTTTCCTCGACTTTTCACTCATGTAACGGATCGAAGACAAGACAAGGAAACCTAACGAAACCGAAGCAGAGGAGGAGCTCAGCACAAAACATCACTGAACTTCTCTCATATCCTCGAACTTTACCTACGACTAACTGTTAATTGATAAATTTCACAGACCAAATCCAACCACTTCCGGTCAGGGATGGATTTCTTCCTCAATGCCAAAACTGTCCGTCTCCGCTGCCACCAGGACAAGTACCTCCTCGCGGAGGAAGATGAGGAGTCCGTAACCCAAGACCGAAATGGATCCTCCAAGACAGCCAGATGGACTGTCGAACCCGTACCTGGATCCGACTCCCTTATCCGCCTCAAGTCCTGCAATGGTAAATACCTCACTGCATCTAACCAGCCTTTTCTTTTGGGCATGACTGGTCGAAAGGTCCTTCAGACTGTACCCAGACGATTTGACTCGTCCGTCGAGTGGGAACCCGTGAGAGAAGGGGGCCAGGTGAAGCTCAAGACCCGGTATGGGAACTTCTTGAGAGCCAATGGGGGGTTGCCACCTTGGAGAAACTCGGTTACTCATGACATTCCTCATAGGAGTGCTACACAAGATTGGATCCTTTGGGATGTTGATGTTGTGGAGACTCGAGCGCTTCAGTCTCCTACTGGCCATGCTCATTATCTACAGAAAATTGTTTCTCAGTCTGATTCTCTGGATTCCGAATTCACCTCTCCACCCTCTATCTCTATCAAATCCGGAGATTATTTGAGACAGGGGGTAATTCTGATCTTCTCCTGCTATTCTTAATGATTTGATTGAAGTCCTGCAATTTCTTTTCTTTCTTGGTTTTTCATCTGCTTAGTGGCAATTTGTTTATGGAATGTTCAGTCGAGTGATTCTAATGCTAGTTCGCCTCGGAAATCTGACGGGAGGACAATATACTACCACGTGGCTGATGAGAGCGGTGAGGTTGATGATGATGCAACAGAGCGTTGCTCGTTGAATTTTAAGGGAAATGGGGTGGATGGGTTGACACAAAAATTGAAGGAAGATACGGGACTTGAGGATATTGTTGTGTGTACTCGCAGTCCTTTGAATGGAGAGCTTTATCCCCTTCGATTGCAGCTTCCTCCAAACAATGCAGATATGCATGTTATTCTAGTTCAGCCATCGTCCAAAGGTGAGCTTATGATGGCTTAAGTTCAGTATATATTGTTTCGTTCTAGTGTTGCTAATGCAATGCGTAGTTGTTGAGCTTTTTTGTCATTTTTTAATGTTGTTCTGATATGCACAATGCAATGCTATTTGGGTTATAGATTATTAACATTTCTTTAATAATTGCTATTTGGGTTATAGATTATTAACATTGAAATCTCAGCTTATCAGAAATGAATGAGGTGTATTCATTTTATGTGTAGTTGCTGCTGCATTTACCGAGAGTCCTTGCATTTCATGATACATGCTCTGTTTGGTTGCCATCAAAGACCACTCAGTATGTTTTCTTGCCCAGGTTCTTGGGATTCAAATTTTTGTATGCTTGTATAGAATTGTATGGTACTAAACATGGTTCCAGAAAGAGTTGTAAGTGAGCATGTTGGATGGATTTGGGGATAGACCTTTTTGTTGTTCTATATCATATCGGAGGCTAGATGGATTTGAAGTGAAACAAGTTGGCCGGATTGTCATTTGTTATTCTGAAAAGCTGGCAATAATATAGTTTTGGGTTGAACTAAAATAACATGGGACTTGGAAGGGCTTTGTTGGTGCTGTTCTAGAACATGGGAATTCGAAGGGGTATGATTTTTGAACCAGATTATTAAAGAAATGACTGTCAATCTCTTATAAACCAAGATTTAATAGAATATATCTCCATTAGATGGCTCCTCTTAGGATCGAGATTGCTATTATCAAGTGCCTGTTGAACTAGATTATGCATGCAAGTGTCAATGCCTGTTGAACACATTGAACGGTCATGTAGTAGCTATTGCCTTAGAGAAAACGATAAGCTTGTTAAATTTCTGTCACCGATTGAAATCCATGATGTTTTTTGTCCATCTAATGAACTCTGGTTAACAATGATGCTGTAAATCTTGTTTCTCAAATTTCATTTCCCATTTGCATTTCCGATAGAATTGCCATTTTGTTGTTGTCTTTGAACTTTTGCATGACTGTTTTCTTTCGTTGTATCAGTGGCCAGTGATTTTGCCGAACAAGGAACTCCTCTCTGATATACATTGGACGGGTTATCACTCCGCGTGACTTCTTACGTGCAGTGTAGTGTACATTCTATTTGGACCTCTGAAATATGCTAGTTTTTAAAGCACTCGGTGATTCAAAGGCAACAGGACGACTATTTCAACAGAGAAAGGAAGCCACGAGCAAAAGTGCTCTTGTTATTGCTGGGGACAGATGGTCGATGTGGTGCTTGATTAAACCATGCCTCGATAAATAATGCTCCAAAATTTTAGTCTGATTGGAACATCACTATAGCACAATTACTTTATAGCTTAATTGAGTGTTTCTATCTTGTCTTATAGAGCTTGTGACTGTCAAAGAATCATTTCCTTCTAAAAGAATGTTTCGATGAATAATTGTTGCAGCCTATGAAGCGTTAATCTTGGGTTTCTTTTTGTGAAAGAAGTACGGTGTGATAAGTGGTACAAGATTATCTATTTTAGCTGAGAACTGAGATGGAGAGCTTAGATTATTGCTAGAGGGGTGTCCTGCTTTGTACAGAACTTTCAGTCTATATATATCACGCAGGTCATTTTTTACTCAGAATCTTATTTTTCAAGCAGTTTGGGTTGAGCCAGTCTCAATTCCCGTTGTCATTCCGTGTAAGAATCATATGATAAACCCAACTGATGATGTTAATCTAGATTTTATGCGAGACTCTTGAAGAGGTGGTTTTTCATATTTGAGTTCATAGTTTCACGATGAGTTCTGTCTTGAAAATACACTTCTCAAAATGGGATGTGGTACCAGGAGCTGATGAGTTGTAATTCTTAGCCATGTGAGATAATGATATTATTATAACTCTAGCCGAGGGGTTTGGACATGGGATTTGGATTGATTTGGATTCTGGGTTATTAGGGTAAATTTGGATTAATTCAAAAAAATTAAAATTTTAATATTTTATATAAAAAAATTAAGACACAATTCCTATAAATATAGGCTACACATTTTATAAATAATAAAATTTTAAAAATTATTTCAAAAGGTTTGTATTTTATATTCAAAAATTTTTATATTAGTACGTTGTTCAAAAGGTTTGTATTTTATATTCAAAAAATTCTATATTAGTATGTTATTATTTTAAGTTGAAATATTTAAACTAAAATTTTTTTTTATTCCACATTAAAAAAATAATTTTTTTCTTATGAATATAAAATATATAATACCGAAAGACTTCAAATTTCATATTTAAAAAATAAAATATTTTTGTAGTATTTATATAATGAACTTTAAAAATAATTAATAACCAACTAATATATATATGTTTCTAGTTAGGAGAAAAAATACATTTGAAAAAAAAATCGGGTCTTAACAGGATTTTGTCGAATCACTTGGATCATAAATCAGCCATGTTTCACCAAGTTTTTGTTTATCTTGGTATTTTATTTTACACCAACTAGTATAGTTATTAAGTCAATCGGATTTTAAGTTAATTTATTAGACGGATCTAAATTTAATAACTATAATTTAAAAGTTAGATAATGTGTGATGGTATGTCTACGAGTCATATCCAAACACATAATATCATTATAAGTTTTCAAGAAAAGATGTTTCATAATATCATTATAAGTTTTCAAGAAAATATATTTTTTTTTTAATTAGAGATGAGAAGCTAAATACACCTTCAATTTCTAAGATATTAGCATCATCGTCGATATTTATACATGTGAGGTTTGAGAAAGAGCATTAACCTTGCTTTAGCCATGGAGATGATATTGAAGTCTAGATTTGAAGAGATTTCATTGCTGTGGAGTTTGTGTGTCCCTTATTTCATTTTTCCTTTCAATCTTATACTTGCTCTCTCCTATAACTCAGCTTCTGTGAGTGCAACCATTTTGCTTCTGAACATTGAGAGGCTTCTTCCCTGCCCAGTGGGATTTTGAGATTTAACACTGGAGATTGCCTCTTGCTAAGCTACGTCTCAGCTAGTCTGGAGGTCTTAGAATCATCATCAATATTTCTTCCTTTCTTTCTGTTTTTTTTATTAATATGGATATCTAGATTAGATTATATATATCTTAATTAATTTTATAAATTTTAAAATTAATAATTATATAAATTTCCAACAACACTGAAAAATTCAAACTCATGAACAATGAAAATTATCATCTATCTTTCACGGGTGGCTCTTGGTCACTTTGCACTTTGAGCTTGCTTTTGTTGAGCCTTTTTGGCCTTCTTCAACATATTTCAACGCGTGCTCTATGGGCCTTCTTCAACATATTTCAACGCGTGCGTGGTTACCCATTTATGAATGGGCCCTTTAGATTGCCTGTTTGGTCCTAAGTCCAGCTCAATCTAGGTTCAAGTACAGCTCCTTGTTTAAAAGGGTACATGGGTTTTTTTTTAATGATAAAATAATATAGTTAGGAAGAAAAAAGTGGACAAAGAGTAGAGAGGTGAGTAAAAAAAATTAAAAAACTAATTAAATAGAGAAAACTAAAAAAAAAAATAATTAAAAAAATTGAATTGTAAAAAAAACTAATTAAAATTTTAAAAAAATCGACTAGTTTAGTTCGATTTTGGTTTTATAAACCTATAACTGAAAAAACCAAATCGAATCGAACTTAAACTGAAAAAACAAAAAAAAGCTGAAAAAAATTAGAAAAAATCAAGCCAAAACCAATCCAAACCAAGAAAACTAAAAAAACCGAACCAAACTAATTTGAACCTATTTTGATTTGATTTTTAATTTTTTAAAATTTCAATTTAATTATGTTTTTTTATAAAAATCAAACCAAATAAAAATTAATCATTCCTGATAAATAATGTATTATGTACATACTGCAATTAAAAAATACAATATTTAAACTCTTCACAATATGCAAACGCGCAATACTGATGAGTTCTATCAAAATGTTCAATGACCAATCATCTAAGTGGTGGCCAAGTGGTAAAGACTTGGGATCAAGGGGTTTTTTATAAAAATCAAACCAAATAAAAATTAATCATCCCTCATAAATAATGTATTATGTACATACTGCAATTAAAAAGGACAATATTTAAACTCTTCACAATATGCAAACGCACAATACTGATGAGTTCTATCAAAAATTTCAATGGCCAACAAATTTATGCCTTGTTTTTTCGCTAGAAAGTTTGATTTATTGTTTGTTTTTTATGTCGAAATTCTGAGAATTCTTCTCTGATTTTTGAGCTGCCTTGAAAATACCAATCTCAAAGTAAACTTAGATTCATATAAAAAAGATAATTGAAACTCTCAGTCTTATCTAAAATCTAAATCAAATTCAAGTTTCCTCGTTGTTCTAAACAAGGGTGAAGAGTTCACCTAATAATCGAGTTTGAATGTATAAAATAATTAGATTAATGGGTTTTTTTCTTCTTGGTTTCAAAGATAAAATCTAAACTGAAATTTAAATAGTATTTTCTTAATATTTTACTTTTTAATTCTCTAACACTTAATTTGATATTTTTTATCATAACTCTAAATCTTATTTATTTAATGTAATTGAAAGAAAAAACAAGGTTAGAAGAGTCTTTTTATTAAAAAAACCCTTCATGCAATTAAAAGGTCAAAAAAGAGCAGAAAACTTAAAGAAAAGGATAAGCTCCACTGCCCATCCAGTCTCCCAGTAGTTTTAGGAGCAGCAGGGCAAGGCACTACCAAATTTTGATAAGCCCACGTGGCATTAAAAAAAGTCAATAACACATGACTCCCAGTTGTCAAGTACAGCCGCACGATACATGATTCTGATAAAGCTGACATGTCATTAAAAAAGTCAATGTACACAATTACTCCCGCGTCAGCAGCAGTCCAGCTCTCTACCATGACTCCATTGCACGTTCTCCTCTCTCTCTCTCTCTCTACCTTAATTCTTTTGGTCAGCCGTCGTCGCCAAACACCCTTTCTTCAGCCATGATGCTCTTACTTTCATAAAGCGCTTTTAGTTGTCATGCCACATGCGGTTTCAACCCGTTTTCTAAAAGTTTTTCGGATTTTTTATATAAAAAATCAATATTTTTTATATAATTCTTAATAATTTTATCATGATAATATTAAGAATTAGAATTCTTAATAATTTTATCATGATAATATTGAGAATTAAAATATTATTTTTATATATTTTTAATTAAAAAATACTATCATAGAAATACGTTACACCGTGTTATTAAAACACAATAACTTGTTAGAAATGTTATGGTAATCAAATATATCAAAAACACAATAACTTGTTAGAAATGTTATAGTAATTAAATATATTAAAATAATATTTTTTATTAATTAAAAATTAATTTTAATACAAACATATTTAAAAAATTTAAAAATATTAAAAAAATATTTTTAGTATCATGTTATAAATTTTTTTAATTTTTTTAAAAAATATATGAAAATAATTTTGTTAATATTGTTATATTAAAATGATTAGAAAATATTAATTTAACATTTTTTAAAAAACAAATATACTTAAAAAAATCTAAAATATAAAATCTACCCCAACTCACAACCAAATTTTAATTCTCATGTGTCCAATCCATCCTTACATCGTCTTTGAATATACCATGGATGAATTGACGAGTGGATTAATTTTTACATTAAAAACTTATTTTTAAAAATAATTTTAGTTTAAAAATATATTTAAAATATTATATTTATTATTTTTTAAAATTCATTTTTACTCCAATATATTAAAATAATCTGAAAAACCAAAAACTTATAATTTAATTTTTTTCCAAAAAAACAGCTGATTATTAATTTTTTATTTGGTATTGCATCCCAAACAGAAATAAGGTAAATTTTAAAAAATTAATTTACTTAAAATTAATTTTTTTTAAAAATTATTTTAATGTATTAATATAAAAACTATTTTAAAAAAATAAAAAAATTATTTAAAATTATTTTTAAATAAAAAATATTTTAAAACTAACCTCCCAACCAATTAAAAAAAAAAAAAGTAAAAGAGAATATTAAGTTAGGCAGTCCTTCCATAGACATGGTCGGTTACAGAGTTTTCTTGGCTTCAAAGCTGTCACGCCAGCATCACATCGCATTTGCCTATTTAAAATCGAACAGTGTAAACTATTATATAATCCCTCACTTCTTACAAAAAGAATTAACCGATCCCTTTACCCCTCTTGGACTTTCTCGTTTTCTTTTCCTTAAATATCCTTTATTCTTTTCAAATATTACAATATCATTTATTATAAACGTAATTATAAAACGCGACGGATTTCTCGGAAATCTGTGTCACCGGCCCACTCAGCCCACGACTCCGGCGTTCAAAGGGAGCATCTTGGAATTTAAGAAAAAGAAAATATTCAAGGGACTGGCTTCTTATTTTCAGAACAAGAAGGGATTAATTCACAGAGTTATAATAAAATCAGGGACTGAGTCGTATATATTACTCTTAACAATATCCATCGGAACGCGTTAACAACACTCTAATCCTCCTGCTGGTACGCACACCCCGCCGACCGCCGGTTTTCTAGTCCAAGTAGGGGGAAAAAAACAGAAAGAAAACCCCCCCCACAAACACGGGAGGAGCCATACACCCTCTGTCCTCTGGTCTGGTCTCTTCCTCTCCCTCTCTGCATTTGGTCCTGCTGTTCGAATAAGAAAGAAAGAAAGAAAGAAGAAATGGGTTTTGATTACTACAACGTACTGAAACTGAACCGCAACGCAACAGAAGAAGACATGAAGAAGGCTTACAAGAGACTGGCAATGAAATGGCATCCAGACAAGAACCCTGTAAACAAGAAAGAAGCAGAAGCCAAGTTCAAGCTTATCTCCGAAGCCTACGATGTCTTATCAGACCCTAACAAGCGTCAGATCTATGATCTCTACGGTGAAGAAGGCCTCAAGTCCTTTGATCAAGCCCCCCCACCCAACACCAACGCCGGCGCTTCTTTCAAGTTCAATCCGCGTGACGCCGATGATATTTTCTCCGAATTCTTCGGAAGCGGCGGATCCGGTGGTGTTGGCAAGGGTTATTTTAGGAATAATAATCATAATAGTTATGGGGCTGAGGTTAACAGGAAAGCGGCGCCCGTTGAGAGCAAGTTGCTTTGCACTTTGGAGGAGCTTTATAAAGGCACCCGAAGAAAGATGAGGATTTCCCGTTCTGTTCCTGATGACTTCGGGTTAGCCCCTCTCTTGCTTTTCTTTTCTTTCCTGTTGTTTTTCCGCTTTTATATTTATTTATCTCTTGTTAATCTATGTTTTTTTTTTCTATTTTCACTTTAGTTCATTTTATAGAAGAAAAAAGATATGATCTTGGGAAATTGCGTAAAGGGAACCCAATTAGTATTGTGATGGAGTCTTTATTTTTATTTTTTTCTCTATTATGAGAAGGAAAAAAAAATGGCCCTCATTCGTTGGTTGCCGATAAATAAAAAAATGGCCCTCATTCGCTGGTTGCCGATAAATTTAGCTACGAGGATATACCGAGGATGAGAGAATATTGAGGATCAGTGTATTGATAAATGAATACCTATTTGCGAGGTTTTCAACAGGATAGCTTGGATGAAAATGGAGCAGAGATCAAGTAATTTTGGGGCATAAAATAGCTAAATAGTATGAACCTCCAAAACGTGGATTCATCCATTAGTCCAAGTCATTAGTTATTTATGGTGTCAGCATTGCATAATTCTACCCCATAGGCTGGCTGTTCTTGAGCAGTGCTATGCAAGATTGAAATTCTGAATTGGATGGATTGCTGTTGGTTTATGTTAATCAGAGAAATCTGTTCTTTAAGGCTTTGAGTGAGTCATTCAGGTTTGATATGCAAAAAGTTAAAACTCAGTTAGTGTGGCACTTAGGTTAAATGATGTCGCTGCCATTCACAGCTTAAGACACTGTGAAACGAGCTGGAATGGACTGTAGAAGTTTAATATCCTTTCCACGGACCCGTCTTGGTTACAGATATTCGAAATGTGTGAACATTGAGGATTTTATGGCGCACTGATTTCCACCGATTTGTTGTTCTTTTTCCTTCCCCTTTTGATTGCCATTTGCTGTGCTTCTGCTGGTTTGATGTGTTCGTTACTCTCTCCTGCAGGAAGCCAAAAACAATCGAGGAAATCTTAAAGATAGACATCAAACCTGGCTGGAAGAAGGGCACAAAAATCACTTTTCCTGAGAAAGGCAATCAAGAACCTGGTACCATCCCCGCTGATCTTATTTTTGTGGTGGATGAGAAGCCCCATCCTGTTTTCAAGAGGGACGGGAATGATCTGGTGGTCACTCAGAAAATGTCACTACTGGAGGCTCTCACGGGGAAAACCATCGAAGTGACAACCTTGGATGGAAGATATCTCTCAGTCCCTGTATCGGATATTGTCAAACCGGGTCACGAGGTCCTTATCTCGAATGAAGGAATGCCCGTCTCAAAAGAGCCCAACAAGAGAGGAAACCTTCGAATCAAGTTTGATATCACATTTCCATCAAGACTTACCGCGGAACAGAAATCTGACCTCAAGAGAGCACTATCTGACAATTAATTCAGAGTTCAAAATCTGTGCTGTCACTTGTCCATTCAACACCAACCATCGATTTAAGTTAATTACATTAACACTGATTATCAATTTAAGTCAATTGAATGTAAATACTTTAATTTTTTTGCTCTGTTCTAGAGTAAGATTGTGCATATTAGGAAGAAAGCTTGAAGCTTTTTGTGAATCCCTGCGCTATCGTTGGTATAATGTGGCATGGATGAACCTGTCTGTAATCCTTGACTAGTGGCCAGGCTGCTGCCAGATGACAGGCGCCTTCTGCTCAAAATTTTTGTGCCGTGCATGATATCGTTTCTAGTTTCTGGAATTTGTCGAGGTATTCCAATTTCAAGTTTTGCAAGTACTATTACAGTTTTCATACTTGGGTGGAATTATCAATTTGGTAAAGCGATCTCTGTTTTTGACATGGCAATGAAACCGAATATCATGCGTGGGGCTGGTTGACCCGAATTAATCAAAATAATATTGGTGACAAGTTGATTGAGTTAAACGAGTTAATTTTTCTTGGACACCTGGCCTGGGTAAGTGCTCAACTGAGCTCCAAGTCGACTGGCCATGCCCAGCTAGGTTTGGTGATTGATGTTTTTATATCATGCTTGATGCTTTGTTCCACCCCTAACTAATATCTTCCACGGAGCCAGTTCAATTCTGCATGTCAATTATATTCAACAAGCAACCTTAACTTGTTGATAACAGTGGACGAGAGAAAATGAGTTCTCTTAAATAAAAATTAACTTGGCATTATATTAAATAATAGCAATCATGAAGAAGAAAGAAAAAAGGATGGCCTTATTTTCGCCTCAGCAGATTGCTTTCGAGGCCTTGTTTTATTCTTCACTTCTGCTGGCATGTAGATTCCAGCAAGGATTCGCCATGGACATGGCATTAATAGTTAAGTACTATCGTGGCAATCATATCATCCGATGCTTCTCAATCTTGTTCTCAAGCGCACTCTTCTTGACCCCTGCTACCTCGTCAACTATCTTCCCTTTCTTCAAGAGTGAAAATGCTGGCAAGGTAGTCACGTTGAATTGCTGAGCCACATGCTGTTTCAATGTACATTTTTGTCATGGTTTAAGAAGACAACAAGCCAAACCAATAGATCATCGTGCAGTAGCTAGCTGCGCAAGGATAAGAGTATTGTTACCTGCAATTCATCAACGTCAATCCTGATGAACACAACGTCTGTGTACTTGGCAGCAAAGTCCTTCATGGTCTGTTCCATGTATCGGCAAGGTCCACACCATGTCGCCGTGAATTCAATCACGAGCTTTAACACCAGAAGAGGAAACCGTAAGAAAATAAATGCTGTGATATCAATCACATAGATTATAGATAAGATAAATCTTTTTTCCGATATCTCGTTTCATTTGTTTTTTCCACCCAGATTTATGTAAGTCACATAACTTGAACATCATGTTTTTTGATGTTGAAAACACTTTTTTTTTTTTTTGGTATCGCAATACCAAACAGATAATGCTTTTAAAACTAATTTTTTGGTATCGCAATACCAAACAGATAAGATAATGCTTTTAAAACTGATTTTTAATTTTAAATATATTAAATTAATATTTTCGTATATTTTTCTCTTTAATTAACACTAGGACATCAAAACCATTAAACTTCTAAACAAATATTAATTTAATATTTTTTCAAGTAAAATAATGATTTGAAAAACTCTTAAAAAACAGGTTGGAAAGATTAACGTTTACAATTAGCATGCATAATGCAAGTTACCAGAGGAAATAGGAAAAACAGAAAAGGAGGAGATTTTTTTACCAATTTGTTGTTTTGCTTGTTGGCCTCGAAATAGGATCTCCATGCGTCTACAGAATGGACATCCACAACCCCAGCAGCTGGCTTTGTGCATGGAAATCCATCGGAGTGTTCAAACTTAAAGAAGCTTGGTTGCATTGTTCTTCCTCGCTGAAAAACTGGCCAACTAAACTCCATAGCTGACTCACGTAGCTAGAATGCTTTACTTCAAATAAAGCACTCTTGCAAATGGAGGAAAGGCTTTGTCTTGAAAGTAGGACTTGGTGGGAGTGCTCTATATAAGGTCCAGATTGGTGGAAAACTAACATGTTTCCAGCACAGGGAATCAGATTCTTTGAGGTGACCGGCCATTACAAGGACCGCCGATGGGGCTTGACAAAGGCTCTAGGAAGTCCCTTCAACTTCATTTCTCCTATATTAACAATTAATTAATGTCCAGAAACTGCGTCTGCGTTGTCCTGTGGACTGGTATTTTTTTCCGATTCTATGTTCCGCTATGGTGGAGGCCATTAAGAAATAAGAAAACAAAACAACATTTAAGTATTTTGGAATCAAACAAAGACCTAAGTAGCTGTAAGCATTTCAACTTCGTAGGATTGGTGAGCTGATCAATAAGTTTTGCCTCCTCCGTTGAGTCGCTACTTTCGAATCTTGATGTCAAATATCCAACAAAATTTATTATTAAAATTGATGCACGGTAGAAGGCTACTTTAAAGGGTCAACTTTTACTTTTTATCTGGCTAGGGTTTAACATTTAATCACGTGAGAGCTGCTATGACTTGATTGAATTAACTGATAAGATCCACAACAAATTGAAATAAAAATTATGAAAATTATGATTTGATTTTTAAAATAAATATAAAATTATATTTTTTTTAATATTAAAATAATAATATATTGAATTTATTAAGATTTCAAAGTTAAATCTTTAAAATCTATAAACTGAGTGATGGAAATGGAAATTACTAAGTATAAATTTTTTTTAAAAAAATATGTATTTTATATAATTACATGATAAGATAGATAGATATCTGTATAAACTAAATATTAAGAAATTTATTTTGAGATTATAATAACGTTATAAAAAATAAATGTTAAAGAATTAAATTAAAAAAAATTAAAAGAGAGAGAAATTAAAAGGGATAAAAAAAGTATTTTACTGTTAAAATAAATAATTAAGCAACCCGGGTTTTTTTAGAGCGTAATAGAATGTGCTTATTATGGTTGGTAATGCATTTTAGCATGAAAGTCCGGTCCCTCTGCTTATGATTTTTGGTAAGATTTGCCCTTATGCTTCAAAGCTATGCATCCCAAACCCGATGATCATAGTATTATTAGCCATGCAATTTACTCTTTGAAGCATAGGGGCAAACCTGACCAAAATTCATAAGTGGAAGTGCCCTTAGTCATAGTTCATCTATTAATATTAAAATTAAAAAAATATATAGAGGCTTGATCAAACCAGAAAATAAAATAAAATATCTATTAATAGTTTAACATAATACTAGAATCTGTAGCTTTTTAAAAATATGGTTATGATTGCTTTTGAAAGTATTTTTTACTCAAAATTATATCAAAATAATTTAAAAATATTAAAAAAAAATAAAGAAAATAAAGAATGATTGTATGGATTCTTTAAATAAAAAGGAGAAGTAAAATAGAATCCCAATTGCTAGATTTCTTAGACTTGTCATTGTCATGGAGAAGAATACTTTTCCTTTCTACAATTTAAATTTGAAGTCTTTTTCTCTCAATTTTAAGAACAAATTTATGCTATTTTTTCAAGATTCATGGGTAAAGTGAAAAGATTTAGATGAGAAATGATGAATGAATTACTATACATCCATGGGGAGGGATGGAAATCATTCCATCTAAATTAGAAGGCATTGAAAAATAAAAAATAAAAAGTATGAGAGCCAATGCATCGAAATTGGGAGGATTGAAAATTATAAATGAGGGATTTTCCTTACACCTAAACTCTCGTTCTTAATTCATTTCCTCTTGTACATCCTTCTCTCATTCCCTCTTACCATTCACAATCACAGTGTAATTGATATAAATAGTTTCTGTGATAGAAATAGTTTTTTAAAATATTTTTTTATTTGTAAATATATTGATGAAATATTTTTTTAATTTTTGATATTAATATATTAAAACAATAAAAAAAATAAAATTTTTTAAAATTATAATTGAACTATAAAAACAAATATTGTTATATAAATATAGTTTTAAAACTTAACTTCATGATTAATTTATTATAAAACTTGAGAGGGCTGACACAGCTCAACTTTAATTTTTTTTTTTTAAATTAAAATAATATTATTTTAATTAAAAAAATTTGTTTAAATAATCAATTAGTAATGGTTAAGTCAACCCTAAGTTTTTAATCAGGGTAATTAGAATTTTATTTTTATTATTTTACTTGGATTAATATAAAATTTTAAAACTATTTAAATTCAGAAAATTTGAAATTTTTTAATTTTTTATTTATTTTAAATTAATATTTTTTCAGTATTTTTAAATCATTTTAATATACTAATAACACAATAATAACTATTTTACAATATATTACTATTTTACTATTTTAATTTTTATCATTGTGAGAAGTAATTCGGCTACCATAATAACAACAACTTAATAACTGTTTTATAATTATTCTACCCCTAACCTTTTGACGTCACCATTGCCGTAACAAAGAATCACTATCTTAATTCTTACTTATTACCATCATCATAATTATTACAATAATAATTATTATTGTACAACAATAATCTCTATCATTAATTATATTATTATCACAATCACTACTATAAATATTTTTGCAGGGCCCGGGCCCTGCTGGCCTCCTCTTAATTCCGCCACTGTTGACAACTATTTTATAATTATTTTATTCTAATTTTTCAACATATAGTTTTCATAATAAAAAATCACTATCTTAATTCTTACATTTAGTTATTAGCATCATCATAATTATTACAATAATAATTATTTTTATACAATAATAATCACTATCATTAATATTATTATTATCACAATCATCACTATAAATATTACTATTATAACCTTTCAATATCAATACTAGCATAATAAAAAAAATCAACACCTCGTCATGATTTATCAAGTGATTATCATCATTATCATCATTAATTAATTTATTATTATTTATAATATATCTAAGTAATAATAAAAATAACTTATTTTCAAGGAAAATGTTTTTCCCACAAAAAAAAAAATCTCAAGAAACTGAAGGCCCATTTGTTTTTTTTTTATTAAATATCAAAGAGGCCTAATCACTTTTTTTTGTTTTCTGGGCCCGAAGCCTAACTTAGACATCGTGGGTGGGTGATTATTTTGAGATGCACAATTATTATTAATAATTTTGACAAAGGATATAAAATTTCTCTTGGAGCTTAAAACGAAATGGTAAATGGTAATTTGCTAAAGCTAGCTTGTACATCGTTGGTGGGTAATTATTTTAGCCCAGGTTACATGCATCCTTTTTCAACGTTGATCTTAAGGGCATGTGCGTATTAATAACGGTCCAGTGATAAATTTATTGTTGCCACCGCCACAACCTCATTTTATTTTACAGCCCTTATTTTATTTAATAAAATTAATAAAACAAGATACTATAAATCTCTTAGAGGATTTTCATTTGAAAATATATACTGGAAAATAATATAATATAAATAATATTAAATAGTTTTTTTTAAAAAAAGATAAAGATAGCAACGGGGATTGTTGATGGGTACCGGATCGCATATTCACTGATCAATCAAAGTGAACGGTGAGAGAAGTAATAACAATAAACCTCCCAGCTCTGGCACATAAACCAGATGCACCGCCTGAATCATACATAAACTAGAAAACCTATCTGCCTGCCTGCCTAACCCAACACCGATCAAGTTCATCAACAAGAAGCCGCTAAAAGTTCGCTAATTGACCCCTTTTTTTTGCAAATCAAGTTGAACTTCATTTTCTTAAAAGTTTTCAATGGAAGTTCGCAGGCCGAACTACAAAAAGAAGGGTGTCCTGGGTGGTGTATTCGTAAACATCAACCTGCATTCAGGACAAGTTTCACATGAAGCAAAAGAAATGTTTTCACCACCAGCCTAAAAAAACATGGAACTCGACACCCTACGGACACACAACGAGTGTCATCATGAAGCCACCCCAACATCAGCCGGGGGATGACTACCTTCACCTGTAGAACCATTGTTGTTGTAAGTGTGCCCACCACCTCTGACACCCCTTCCTCGATTATTATAGTTGTTCCTCTGATAATAGTTTCCAGGCTGATCATAGTGTTGGTTGCGGTCAATCTGGTAGCTACCACCTCCTCTACCACCACTTCGACCACCATGACCATTTGAATAACCCCTGCGACCACCATTGCCGCCGCCACGACCACCTCTTTGGTTCTGGTAGTTCCTTCGAGAAATGTATTGTTGCTCCTTAGGCTCTGCCTCTCTCTGATTATGATCAACTTCCACATGCTCTACCTCTCTCTGATTATAATATACTTCAACTTCTTTAGATGGATTATCTTGCTCTCCTTGATCCAAGACAACTGCTGGGTTTTCAGTCTCTTGTTCATCCTGCAATAAAGAAACCAACCACATTCATTCAAGCAAAAAATACACAGGTGAGGAAGAAGATTATATCATCGCAAGTGCATGCACCTTCTGAAGTTCCTCAGCAGGACTTGATTGATCATCACCAGTTTCATGTTGGATATTTTCTGTCTCTTGTTCCTAAGAATATAAATGATAATAAAAGTTTTAGAAGTCTCAAGGAAAACATACAACACTAGAAAGGAAATGGCCAGAAGAAAATATAAATGATAATTGCTTCCACATTATGGAGAAGAAAATAGTCCGCTGACTGACTGACAAAAATCCATTCCAACAATAACAGCATAATCAGGAGAGATGTGGCTTAGTTATGCAAATTTCTAGGAATTCAGACACAGCATCAACATTAAACTGATTAAATTTCCAACTGAGAATCAATGAAAGCCTAGAATCATTGCAATTTTGAATTATCATCTATTGCATCTTTCCGAGATCGACAAAAAACCAGCACAGTACATACTCCATTGCAATAGAAATAGGTTTAGGAAAGAGTCAGAATGAAAGGATGGCTTACAAAAGAGATTATTAGTGAAACAAAATAAAAGGATGATATAAGAAAATGAAAATCACAGCCAAAAATAAATCACGTGATTCAATCTAATTTAACAGGACAGACAGAGTAGCATA